ATAGTATTTGTGTGTTTAATTTTTAATACATTTGGAATCTCTTTTTACAAATGATATTACTTAGAAATTGAGTTTTATTTTTCTTTCTAGTTTCGTGTCACTTGTCCAAATTTTGGTTTTCAGTTATGTTTTTAGATTGACATCTTAAGCTAACAAAATAACTTAAAACAGTGTCAGTGAACTTCTCTGGGTTTTTTAAAGTTCCAACGGAGTTCAGGAAGTTGTGGGAGCATCTGTGGTTAGTCCAATGATTGAATTTGCTACCGGCATTTAGTGGTCCGTGGCCAGTAATGCTGCTGAATGGTTTGAAATGCACAAGACATCCTGCTCAACAAAGAACTTCCCTATTCAAAGTGTTAAGAGTACCCCCACTGGAAAACACTGGTAGCCAAACATGCAAATATTTCCCCATTTTCTTATGATCACTTTCTTTTTTGTTTTTTACAGCGTATTGCTTTATTGGGGTGGGGTTGAGAGGGGAAACACCATGGTGAGGAATGAAATCAATTAAAGGAATACAAACTCAGGAAGCATTAATGTTAAAATAGTAGTACACAGAATGGTTAACTGCAAGCACTTTCTTAAAAGGACTTGACTCGTGCAAGAAAAACTTTAATTGCCATAGCAAAACACATCTGGATGAAGTAGAAATTGTTTTCAATAACACTGGTAGAGAATATGTTCTAGAAATTGAAGGTAACTGGAGATAACATGCTGGCAGCAATTTAACAGAACAGTCCCAGAGGGTTAGGCTGAGGCCAAGACCTAATGAGGACAAAAGCCTTGTCTATGGGAAATTCCGGATGAAACCTGGAGAAATATTACACTGTGCATAAACCAGATTGAATTGTTGTCACAAGTGTTGTAAAGTTTCATATAGTAAAAGGTTTTTTCTACATGCACTTCAATTTCACAACAAGAGTGGCATAGGATGCCTGAACACAGAAGAGAGGATCCATGCAAGATATCTAGCTCCTTGATATAATAATGCATTCAATTCAAAACGATTACACTATTATTACATCTAGGGCTTTCTGCAACCACAAGGTGGTGGTTATGGAAACCATGATCCCCGGAAAAATCTATACATATAAAGAGGTAATATGGTAATTTGTCCATGCCGGGTGTCCCCATAACGACTTATTTGCATATTGATGCACACGCAGCAGCGGGTGGGAGCCAGAGCCAAGTTCCCAGGGGTCTGAGGAGACTGCCTGACAGAAGCCTGGACTGCAAAGAAGGAAGAGGAAGTGGCCAAGGGGAGCTCTTCTAATCCCCCTGCACCCCTGGGGGATGGGGAAGCTGACAGGACTGGGAGAAGACCCAGCCTCAGGGGTAGCTGCAGCCCGCACCTCCAACTCTGATCTATTCCCCTGCCACCCCCGCTAGGGGCGCCCACAACAATAGCACGCTGGTGACCACCTGTCAGAGCCCACGGGGCCCACGGCCCACCACTGCCGGGCCCCCTTTAGTGGAGCCTGAATTGCCTCTCCTCCCTACAACTCCTGACCTGGGTGGAGGCAGGCCTGAGGGGTCTTCTAGGGTCAGACCCTTCTCCAAACCCCCTCACCCCCCCATCACTCACCTACAGAGGAAGCGCACTGAACTTCCTTGGGGGCACGGCTAAACGCGCCCTCCTAGCCCGCCTGGCTCTGCCCTGGCCTGGCCCCCACTCAGCTCCAGGAGGTTGGAGCCCCACCCTGAGCAGGTACAGCTGTGAAACAGCCTCGGACAATTTACAGCATGGCACCAAGTGGGACGGCTTGACAGTTACTTCCCCTTCGGCCTCGCCACCCCCCTACCACCCCCCTAATGCCCCGCCCCTGCCAGCGCCTCCAGGGATGACCACCACTACAGGGCTGCCGTCAGAGCCCGCCCCTCCGAGGCCTGCAGCACCCTCTGCAAAGCTTCCATAGCTACAGTCCCAGGAAACAATCATGCCCTTCTCCCCTAATCAGCACCTGCTACCTGCGAGGCTACCCGTGGGCTTAAAATACCAATCCCTTCCCGTTTAGACAACACTTACTTCATGAAACATTTCTAGGTTTATTAGCTCAGAACCTCCTCATGACAACCCAGTGAGGTAGACGGAGAAGAGATTATAATTCCCATTGTATATGCATATGTGTTCAGAAATGAAGCTCAGAGAGGAAAAGTGTCAAGCGCACTAGTTCCCAAGGTGCTCTACATGCCCCACAGGGGGGGGAGATTTTATTTTAAGTGGAGGCAACTCGAGAATGAGTTAACAGTGATTTTTTTGCATTTCTTATGATTCTAGGGGGCCTCATCTACAGTGTATCCTATATAATAAAAGGCTAATATGCAAATGACCAAATGGTGGAATGACCAATCACTATGATGCACGCTGAAGGAATGACCAGTCACTATGATGCATGCTGACCACAGGGGACATACACTCAATTCAGGAGCTGGCCCCTGATTGTCAGTGTACTCCCACAGGGGGAGCACCACTCAGCCAGAAGCCAGTTTCATGGCTGGCACGCACAGCTGCAGTGGTGGGAGCTTCTCCTTCCTTGTGGCAATGCTAAGGATGTCTGACTGATGGCTTAGGCCCACTAAGCTCCCAGTCCACATCCTACAACTTTTCTGATCAGATCATCACAGGAGGTCTGACTTAAGTTTGTTTCAAAGCTAACATAAGAAAATTCTGGTTCTGGAGTGATGTGAATAGTCCAATAAGTTCCCTTAGAGAAATAATTTTGTGTTAATAATGGAAAGGGCACACTTAAATATTTAAATAAGTATTAAGCAAATATTATTACTTACATCCGATTTCATGCCATTCATCGAATGCCCACAAGGATTGAACATTGTGGCATCAATGACAGACCCTGGCATCAGTTCACAAATTCCATTCTCAAGAGTAACATCCTTTGCAGTGACATCATCTTTCATGTAGAACTGGTCCATAACTGCTGGGTCAAGCTCACTCATCAGAATTTCCAGGGTTTGATCTGGCTGACTGATTACCCTACTCTCAGGGAAATCTAAAGTATACAAGTACCAACAGTCAGAATTCATACGTCCCATATAATATGCTGCTCCATTTGGGAAAACTGCATTAAGAAACTGTATTTCTTTCTGGAAATTCCGGTGGGGGTACCCTTGGTGAGAAGATGCGAAATTCTTATGAGAATAAAAGAAGCTTTCAAAAGAGTCAAATCCACTGTAATCTC